AAAGCCAGCTGGTAGGCTACTTGTCAGAGTCAGCTGGTGTGCTACTTGTCAGAGTCAGCTGGTGTGCTACTTGTCAGAGTCAGCTGGTGTGCTACTTGTCAGAGTCAGCTGGTACGCTACTTGTCAGAGTCAGCTGGTACGCTACTTGTCAGAATCAGCTAGTGTGCTACTTGTCAGAGTCAGCTAGTGTGCTACTTGTCAGAATTAGCTGGTATGCTACTTGTCAAAGTCAGTTGGTAAGATTGAACCTCTGACATCTGCACAGACATAACAACAGTTTATGAGCAGCGCCATCAGTGACCAAGTAATGAAATCATTCTTTTTTTTATTGAAATTCTAATAAGGCGATTTTTTCTCACAAATATGAGAAAACACAAAAATCAACTAGCTGAATTTGTTGTAAATGTCAAATCATACCTAACATCAGAGGCCATCAACAAAAATAGTTGGAATGCTAAAAATGAAAATGATTTGGTTGACCTTTCTTGATGTACAGATATAATATTACATAAAATGCTTTTGTAGGACTCCAGTTCATCATCAATATTATGCATAAACAACTTTGTTGTGTCCTTGAGAATTAAAGTTACGACTGCGTGCATGTCATGTTTATCAAAACATAATCAACCCTGCAAATAACTTACCCAAATCCCCCTTTATTAGAGACCTTCAAATATTTTCGATCCCAAATTAAACGAAATACCAAATATGTTTATTTGTGCCTAATGAGATAAACAATTATAGATAATATATTAACTTTGAATTTTGTTGCCTTTTTACTGTTTTGTATTTTTATCTATTTAGAATTTGAAGTCCAGTGTTTGGAATATACATTACTGCTTGGGAAATATGCAATATGTATTATCCCAGCAAGAATTCAAGTGTTTACTTATTAGAGAAAATGTGATATTCAAACTAGTAGAATACGCATCTAGATGCCAGAAACTTGAATGAAAAGTAATTTTGCAATACCCCTTACTAACGAATGAACCACATAAAACTGGTGGAAAAACACTGTTATATTAAAGGAAAGATGGTGACCAGATTTAAATATGTCATTTTTTTTACTTTAATTTTTTGTTTAAACATTCATGAATATTTGTAGAATTTGATTTTGACATGAGTTTATTAGTTTGGCAAGATCCAAGTGTAATTCTTGTCTCACAGTTGGTGAGAGGGCATGATTTAAACAGGTATGTTAGTCTTCAAAATGACAAAATCTCAGGTTTATTCAATCAAAATGTCAATCCAAGCTATTAGTGACAATATTAAAAGTGGTTCTTTCAAGGCAGACACTGGTGAACATTAAACAAAATTCAATAAAATTCAATAAAATTCATTAAAATAAAATAAAATTCAATAAAATAAAATAAAATAAAATAAAATAAAATAAAATAAAATAAAATAAAATAAAATAATAAAATTC